ACCATTTTCTAGGTTATATCTTATGTAATTTCTAAATTTTTAAACCCGGAAGCGAAGCGACGGGATACATACTAGTCTATTATATTAAAATCGTTGGATTCACGTGGGTACGTTTATATAAATAATATTTTAAATTGTGTATCATATCTGGAAAATCGTTATTAAGTTATTATGATAAAAATACTTTTTTTTCGCATCTTTTAATTATTATCGCTCGATCACTTTCATTTTAGTAAATACATAGGAATAAACATATGGGAATATGGTTCGTTTCAAATCTCCTTGGCATGATATTTACTATTTTGTGAAATCGTTTTCTTACTGCCCTATTAAATTCTTTGCCTAAATTCAAATACGATCTTGCCACCTTTATCTCCTTTGCTTCCAGTTTGAATATGATTTATGTCGTCGTGCTCCTTATCTACTATTTCTTCGCTTAGAATATTGCTCACCACGGCGGATTGAAGAGTATCGCTATTAACTGGAGGTTGATTTAAAAAGAACCAAGTCTCACTGTACTTACATTTTCGCTGCGTTTAATATTGGAAGCATTTTAATTCCTGTTCAGCATTTACAATGCTGCCTATACTGCGTAGAGGCTTCCTTTATCAAATGGTCCAGGAGTTGTGCAAATCACAATCTTGGAGCCATGACTAACTAGTTCATAAGGTCCTTGCACTGCTAAGCAGTCGTGGAGCCTTTTACTATCAAACGGTCATCGAGATATATTACCAAAGTCTTGGAGCCGTGACTTCATGAAAATAACTTATTTTGGGCAGGTGGGTCGGGACGAGAAAGCTAGTGTAACGAATTAAATTGTATTTTTCGATATTATTGTAAATAATTTCTTTATTTTCTCGGTAAATCATCCGAATGTACATAGTTGATTAGTAATTCCCCATCTATTCTGGTAACAATTTCCAATTTTAGTATATTGATTAATTTCTTTTGATTATTTCATAACTTATACTAAAATGGTAATGATGAGTGGCTTAATTGCATAGAAATCAAATGAATCACGTAAACACCAAAAAAACCGCATATACGTGATTACACAAAGACTGTGCCTTACGACTTTTCAGTGTATACATTATTTTTACGGTGTATACACCTAAATTTCCACGTCTACGTTATATTTTCGGTGTAAACATCACAATTGCGGTGTTTACGTTACTGGAAATTAAAATGTATATAAAGACTATGAATTCAATAAACGAAGGAGTTCACTTTTAATTACCACAAAATAATAATATATATACTTATCTAAATTTTCCTTTGAGACTTTGTCTTTGAATTCGACTTGTAACTTTAATAAACCCTTTCGAGACTC